AGTTTTATGGTCCTTATTTAATTTGATTTAATTTTTTGCTTCTGGTATCAGTATGCTAAAGAAAATTCCTTTTCTTTTTCCCAGGTAATCAATGATAACATTTCCCAAAGGAAAGACAATAAATTCTCAGCTAAGGCTCACTATATATTTTTCAAATAATTCTTCAGGTTAAACATTGTAAAGTTTTTTGCTGTTGTTTGCTTGTTTTGTTTTTTGAGACAGGGTCTCCCTGTAGCCACAGCTGGCCCGGAACTCTCTTTGTAGACCAGGCTGGCCTTGATCTCATATAGATACACCTTGCCTCTGCCGCCCAAGTGCTGGGATTAAAGGTGTGTGCCTGGCTAAACTTTATAAAGTTTTATGGGGTAACTATAGTATAATTTAGCAAGGAGAAGGTATGAAAAACTCAACAATTTGCTATCAATCAAGACTTGTATCTCTCTTGTTAATTTTAAAAGATGCAAGGAGCATTTGATACAGATACAATGTTAACAGACTAAAAAAGTCAACACTGCTATGAAGAAAAGTTAAAACAAGGTATCATTAGATCCTTACTGTTAACTTTATTATTGAACTAAATAAGACTTTATTGATGTTTATAAAATTAGTACTGAAATCATCACATTAAAAAAATCATTAAAGAATAGGCCCAATTTTTAAGCATAAGACCAAGTTATAGCAATATGGAGTCCATGAATGATTCACAGTGTCCATAAGTAAGCAGTACTGACACAGTTCCCAACAAGTACTGTGTAGGCAGCACCTCTCTCATACATTTAGACAATGCTGTGGCCTGTCCACAAAATTTTCTTTAAAGCTAAAGAAAAAAATCATTTTAATAGTCAGTGCTTCAGAAGATCACACTGAAACTTCAAAGTACATTCATTACTTCCACAAGAGGTTCTGATAAGAGTATTTTCTATGTTGTTAGAATAAAGCATATGTTCAAATATATTAACTGCCGAGATACCTTAGGAGGCAGAAATAAGACTTTATTTAAGGCAAACCTTTGTGAGCCAGGCATAGTGGCAAACACGTGTAACGCCAGCACTCTTGAGGTTGAGGCAAGAAGACTGCTGCAGGGTTGAGGCCAGCGTGGGCTACATAGTGAATCCCAGGGATGCCATGGATACAACGCAGCAAGACCCTGTCTCAGAAAACCAAAACCAAACAAGCAACCAGATAAATAAAAAAGTAAAAATAAAACAGCACCAAAAAAAAAAAAAAAAAAAAAGGAAAAAACCCACAGGTAGTCCTTTTGGTAGTCCTGCCACTTAAAGTCTTCTAACAAAGTAATTTCAATGTTTCATGCTAATTTGGTAAGTCAGTGCAAATAATTTCTTCTAAAAAGTGTTTTCTGGGACTAGAGAGATGGCTTAGCAGTTAGGAGCACTGGCTTTGATTCCCAGCATCCACATGGCAGCTAACAACCATTTGTAACTCCAGTTCCAGGGGATCTGCAGCCCTTTTTTGCCCTCTGAGGGTACTGCATGACATGAGTGCACTCACATACATGACTTGAGTGCACTCACATACATGACATGAGTGCACTCACATACATGACATGAGTGCACTCACATACATGACATGAGTGCACTCACATACATGCAGGCAATACACTCATACACAAAAAATAAAAATAAAAACATATTTTTAAAGAAGCATTTTCTTTAAAGAAATAAAACTCAGATTTTTTTCTATTTTAATGGAAAGTCAAAAACCAGATTATGTTTTTAAATAAAATATCTATAAAATGGCCTTTAATGGCAAGTAATTTGGAAAGAGAAACATCAGTCATTACGTGTGCCTACATGATGGGAATATATACCCCATTTAAGTTTCTCTTTCCCTCTCTTCTCAATTTATCTCTTTCATTTTGTTATGTTTTGTTAATTTTTCCAGAGACAGGTCTGGCTGTTGTAGTGCAAATCAACATCCTCTCACTTCAGCCTCTTGACTGCTAGAATTACAGGCATGCACCACCATACCTGGCTGAAAGTTGCCTTGCTGAAATGCAAATAAACAATCAAAGCTGAATGTAATTTGGCCTCCAGATCTAATTCCAATAGAGAAAGTAAAAGAGACAGAGAACCTGTTAAAGCCGTGAGAATGCAGGAGCAAAATGAATTATTGCTGAATGTGGGAAACTGCTGATGAAAGAATTGCATTTCTTCAGCAAATAAATTGAAAAATAAAAATGGGGTGGGGTGGAATCTGTAGATTATAAAGAGATTTTAAGTAGTGTGCAACTGCAATCTATAGACCTTTTTTAGGTAGTAAATCCAAACCTTAAAAAGCAAAAACTGGGGGCTGGAGAGATGCCTCAGTGGTTAAGAGTACTGGCTGCTCTACCAGAGGACCCAGGTTCAATTTCTAGCACCCACATGGTGGCTAACAACCGTCCATAACTCCATTTTGAGGGGATCTGATGCCCTTTTCTGTCCTCCTCAGGCACTGCATAACATGGGTGCACTTATATACACTCATACACATAAAATAAAAATAATAGCAATACAAAAGTAAAACCTAAATATTCATATTTGGTGTTATTATGAAGTTAATAATTTTAGGTATTATGATGGTACTATGGTTACATCTTCACAAAGAGTATATCTTTTATTTCTTTTGTTGTTCTGAGTATTGAACCAAGGATCTTTGAGGATTTGAGGCAATTGCTCTACCACCGATCTGAACCTCCAGCCTCTAGAGTAACTTTTGGAGACATACGTTGACGTATATGATATATTGGGAATGATAATCTGGGATGGGGAAGAAAGAGTTGTGAGTACAGTAGAAGCAGGATCAGCCATGTATGGATCATTATGAAGCTGGGAAACAGAAGCATGTGCCTTCTTCATTAGACTACTGTCTCTACTTATGAACATGGAGATTTTTCTTAATAAAAGTATTAAAAACATGCATACACACAAACAGAATCTGACTTGCCTTATCTTTAGATGAGGAATAGTTCCTGGTAGCTCTGGGTTGATGGGCTTTTTCTACAGTGACAGTCCCACTGTAATGAGTAACATCTGTCTCCTGGGAACGTCGGCATTTACTTGTTTTCCCCAAAGCTACACGTTTGGAAACCTATGCCGCATGTAACACAAAACTTTTTTAGCAGATAAATTCTAGATAATCATCTTCTCAAAATTTCTAACTTACTGAAATACAAAAAGGTAATTTTGGAGTCAGCATGATGGCTCAGCAGGTAAAGGCACTTGATGCCAGGTCTAATGACCTGAGTTTGATCCCTGGAAATCACATGGTGGAAGGAGAGAACCAACTCCCTCAAGTTGTCCTCTGACCTCCACATGTACATGTGCGTACAAACAAATGTAATTTTAAAAAATTTTTTGAAAAGATAATTTTCTTAACACTAATTTCTCAAAATGCAAAGGATAAGGACTTAATATGTGGAGAAAAAGAATTATAAATACTTTATGTACACACACAAACCCCACATTAAACACACTACACAAACTCAATTCTTTGTAAAACAAAATGACTTTCATGTACTGACAGTAAGTTCAACAAATGTTTAAATAAATTAATGTTCCTCACAGAATTCACACAATTACTTTTTCTCCTTACCCTCTCTTCTATAATAGGAAGTGAAATATCAATGAATGGATCTTTCATGGTGGAGATCTTAAAAAGTAAACAGATTGAGAACTTCAGTTAGAATTCTAACACACACATGCACTTAAGACTCAAAGAAATCAAACTTCTTAGGCAACTTAAAATTTTAAGTTAAAACACAATATGAAATACTAAGAAAAAGCAGTGGTTCTAACAGTGTTTTTAGATTTTTAGGGATAATTTGGTTTTAAAAGATACTTTGTATCTTCGTAAGAGGGAAATCAGCTTCTATGGTCAAGGTTCTAGAAATCTTAGTGAAACTGCACTGTTATATTCTGTGTTTCAATGTGATAGGCTAGGAGGAGATAAAATTTATAATCCTGGTTTTATAAAGCTAGAGAGGGCAAGGAAGGAATCTGCGGCAGAAAGCTTAAACACTCCGTTTATTTTACTATTAAAATCAGTCAAAAGTTTAAACCTATCACACACAACCACACACTTTCAGAAACGTACTCTACAAAGCAAATGAAAAATCTACAAAATCTCATACATGCTTTAAATTTTTAAAGGTTTACTAGTCTGCAAGGGATAAGGGATAGACCCAAGAGCACTTGGGGAACAGGGGTTAGATTCAATGGACTTTTAAAGAAAAAGACAAATAATAATAGAAGACATTAAGGAGGGGGCAGTAAGGTGGGGATGGAGAAGGGAGAGGGAATCTGAATATGAACAAAATACATTATATGAAATTCTCAAAAAAATTAAATAAATGATAATGATAGCATTTAAAATAAAAGTTAGTAATAAACTCAAAGGTAAGTCAAGATTATATATTTTAAAAAACCTTTAGTGCATCATAGAACTACAAAAAAATTAAATCAAGTGTGACAGAATTCCCCTTACATTACATTATTTCTTTTGAGATTGCATTTTAGGACATTACAATATACCATATTTACTCTCTTCCAAGAAATTTCTCTTATGTCAATCTAAGCAAGTAGATAATATATTTCATCATATTCAATAGACTTATCTGGAATGGTGACATATACCTGTAATCCTAGTACTTGGGAGGCTGAGATAGGAGAACTCACAAAGCCAGCCTGGGCTACATAACAAAGAGGGGAGGAGAGGAACCAAAAGAAAGGTTAAAAGCACCTCACAGGTAAGTCAAGAGGAAAAATAAAATCACACATTTACTCAGAAAAAAATTAAAACTGTGCTTTCTAGAAGTGTAAGGTACATTTTACAAGAATTATTATATAGTCCCCATCGCAAACTGTTACAATTAATCATGACTGCATGTGAAGGAAAACCTCTTCACTGCATTATTACTGGCTGTTTTAAGTTAGAGAAAATGAATAGCAACACTGAATACTGTAGAAATACATTCTTCTCAGTAATACTTGCGTTGTTGTAATACTTTAGCATGCATTTGAGTGTTACAGAAAAGTTCTTAACTGTAACTGATGACTGCTGCCATAATAGATTTCTTAACATTTCTTCAGTAATGGGTTTTATGTGCTAAACATCTTTGAGTCTGGGCAAGTATACAAGTCTTTTTAAAAGACAGTTCACTTACAGTCGGGGGTGGTGGCGCATGCCTTTAATCCCAGCACTTGGGAGGCAGAGGCGGGTGGATCTCTGTGAGTTCAAGGCCAGCCTGATCTACATAGTGAGTTCCAGGACAGCTGGGGCTACAGGGAGAGACCCTGTCTAGACAGTTCACTTACATAAAACTGACCATTTTTTTACAGCATTAATGTTCTTTAAGTTGTTTTATTTGGGTGTGAAGCAATGTTGAGAATCTGAATTGGTCCCTCTTATTATATATAGTACTGAAAGTAAGTCAACCTAATTGATCAAATCATATTCATTCCCTTATTTTATCTGTCAGTAACCACTCCATGAAGTGAATTCCAAAGTACCTACATTTGCACATTCTTCACACATGACTGTGCTAGTTAATTCACCAATGAAGATTCGATCTATGAAGTTCATTTTCACACCTTCTTTTCCATAGGCTGTAAAAAAGTATACTTTTAACTCATGAAATAATCAGTGATCCAACAGTGTTACGTGTTATTTTTCAACTGATAAGGCATATCTCCTATATTACACTCAATAGCATACTTTATTACATCTTATTTATTGTGTCTGTGTGCATGGTTACCATGGCATGTGTGTGGAGGTCGGACAATAACTTTGAAGAGTTAGTACTCTCCTTTTCTCCTTCTACTATTTAAGTCCAGTGGCCTAACTCAGGTCATCAGGTTTCTTAGTGATATGCAGTTTTACTCCATAAGCCATCTCACCAGCCCAAACTATTCTTGAGGTAAAATGAATATAGCAATAACACTATTCATGCCAAACTTCAACTAAACTAAACTTTTTTTTAAAAGACATGGTATCACTATGTAGCTCTGTAGAACTACATGTAGAACAGGCTGGACTCAAACTCAGAGATCCTCCTGTCTCTGCTGACATTAAAGGCATGAGTCAACACACCTGGCCCTATTAAACCTTTTGAAGCCTCTGAATCTAATCAATCTAATGTAAAGGTAGAAAGAAGTAAAGGGAAGACAATGTTTTCAAGGCTGCACATACATGCAACATAGTATAAGGAATTAACATTATGTAATTAATAACTCATATAAACATATATAAAGATGTTTGGTAAAAATTTTTGGATGTTAAAATTATTTATGGAGTATTTATAGATCAAAGGAAATGAAGCTTATGGTTTGCTTTAAAATAAACTGGTATTGGGGGAAAACAGATTAAGCATAATATGACTCAGATCTAGTTTAGGTGATAAATATGAGACGATGCATTGTGCTAATCTTTCTACTTTAACAGAAATCTGAAAGTTTCCTTGATAAACTATGAGACAGAAAGTGTATTAGCAAAACTGTACTTTCAAACTTCTATGCTTTGTAAGCTTCTACCTTCAATTTTCATAGGAATTGTTTAAAATTATTAAAAACACTCTGAAGTACTGAATAACAGAAAGAAAATTTTAACACGCCAATAAACATTTTTACAGTTACTATTAAGAGCACTGGTTGCTCTTGCAGAGGATCTGGGTTTGGTTCCCCGCACCGAAATGGTGGCTAACAACCAATGGTAACTCTAGTTCCAGGAGATCAGATGTCCTTCTCTAACCTCCATGGCATTGTATGACATGGGCACACTTACATACATGCAGGCAACACACCCATATACATAAATAAAAATAATAAAAATATTTTTAAAAAAGAAATACTATGTTTCATTAAGAAAAATTGAACCAAGGATTGAAAATAGAAAAGATTACAGAAATGGAAAGAAATGCAGGGCTGATGTTCTAAGCATGCACTAGATGGCAGTACCTCAACACACTGACAAGGAGCATACTGAAGAAGCTAAAGGTCTAAAACCTTGTAACTCTTTCCTGGGGCCAGCAACTTTCCTGTGTACATTTGGAGGCGCCCACTGCACCTTAACCACATCCACCCCCAGCCTCATTCACGCTCCCAGCTCCCCCACCCCATCTCTCCTCCTAGGGGGCACTGGCCCATTTCTTGTATTTGCATGCTAGACCTCTGGACTGACCTCTAGGCTCAGACTCCCCACTGCTTCCTGATCTTTTGCATTCAGACCAACCCAATTCCTCCCTGTAGTCCCTGGGAGCCCTAGGGGCCTTTTCCCACCCCCACCTTCTTTTGCATCCCTGGCAGCACACCCACCAGCTTCCTGGGCCCAGCATCTTCCCAGGGCTCTTATCCCAGGTCAGCCCAGCTCCCCACATTCCCGAGGCCAGAATTTTTCCTGGAGGGATCCAGACCTTAGGAGAAAGCCTGAGAGCACCTGATCCTCATCTGACTTGGGCCTCTGTGGAAACTCTTGAAGACAAAAGCAATCTGGACACTCCAATATAAAA